ATCCACCCCCTGCTGGCCGTTACAGAGACTGCAGGTTTAAGACACTGTCAGTGGTTCACATTTCACTGAGTTAGGAGTCTGAGTACGATTTCTCAGAAGGGATCTAAAACTAGAGTCGGAGCCACAGCTGCTGACCCACTGTGTTGGTAAACGAACCAAATCAATGAGACAAACTTAACTAACTCGTAGGCTAACACCTCACAGCGTGGCACTATAATATAAACTCCTGTGGAAAAAGAGCCCAAGCTGATGAAATTCATTACGTATTTTCATGTGAATCCGTCTGCTCCCTGACAAATATTTGCTGCTTCTGTTGCCTCGGTGCTGTGGGTCTGACCCATGCTGTTAGCTGCTTGTAATATTAATGATCTCATTGTGTTGCTGCACTCATTATGAGCCTCTCTGGATAATGGTACCAGCTAAACGCCTTAAACGCAGACATAAACTTAATGCATTTCTAGCTCTGTGAATGCCTCTGGTTCATTAAGCTTGTGTGGGTAGCACTCAGTTTCCTCAGAGTGCCTGATATCATCAAGCATCTGGTTAAAAGCTTCTCAACAGTTGAATTGAGCGCAGCAGGAAGGCCTCTGGAAATTGCTATCGTGGCAGGAAGCATTATCTTCTTATTAGCATTCAGGATGGCAACAGAAGGAATCATTAGGACATTAAAATGGGTTGGCGGTGGGGAAATGCTGCAGGGCAGGATTTGCCTCCCAACCATCAGGGTGTATTTGCAAGACAACAGTCCTGAGAAAAAGCTACTTTTTTTAGTTGAATGGAAGCCAGAAGAGAAAATGTGCTGAAAGTTCATCCTTTAAAGAAACTTTTCAGGACTAAGATTAAAATCTTCTTGTGTAGGTGATTGTGTTTTGCTGACCAGCTCCAAGCTAATGATGGGTGTAGATCAGCTACCTAGTTATCTAGGGCTTTGCCAACATTAACTAACTTTAGGTGCAACAAATCACAAATCTATGGAAGCCCATTTCTGCCAATGTGATGGGAAAAAAATATTATGTAAGTCATTATAATTAGAAACTCTCTCAAAATATTGACTTAGTATCTCCAAAGATTGACTTCCTCTCAAAGAAAGTTGACTGAAGTTCTGACCCAGGTTGGGTTTAATGTGTTTCATTATGAGTTTCTCTCTTGTGTCAACGCTTTTGAAGTCATGAAAAGTAAAAATGTGCTAAAACATTTTAGTATAAAGGAGGAATATGACTTACAAAAAAGCTCCAGCCCTTTATTTTAATTACTGGTTCTGCCTCATGTTTGTTTTGTTTGTTTATATTTGCATTTTGTATGAGGTTTGTTTGTGTTTGTCTCATTTGCCTGACATAAAAAACATCTCTGAGTAAAAGAGTGAATTATTATATTTTCCCACACTTTAGAAGAAATATGACGCCAAAGAATTCAACAGAACACCTCAATATTTATAAAGTGTTTTATACTTTTTATTCAAGTTTTACCATTTATTTAGGGAAACTGTTAACATTTGTCTCATAATGAAAATGTACATTTATCAATCTGCATAAAACATCACATGTACAGTACATCAAAATAAATACATCATCTGGTGGGTTGATTGAGCTTGCACTCGAAGATCGGTCAGTTAACTACAGCTACGCTATTCACATCGCAACCTCCACGTTTTTCATTTTACCTTTCTAATCGTCTGCCGGTCCGGACCTGGGGGACTCTGAGGACCAGTCTACGACCGTCGTAAGTCTAACTACACGTGAGAAATAAGACATCAGCACTGCACCGGCCCTAAAGTCATAGATTTAAATACCACGTAACTAACAGCTAAAGCCAGAACTGGACCGGCTGGAGTAAAAAAGCTTTGAAGGTGACTGCAGGCAGGGGGGGGGTTCGGGGACAGGAGACAGCTGACGTCAAGTGTCGGACTAACTAGGAAAGGAAAACAAAAAGGAAGCCACTGACTGTTATTTCCTTCCTGTTATTATCATTTTGTGGCAATGAGTGTGGAAAAAGTAAAAAAAAATCCACCGTTCAACCTGCCAATTTATCCCCAAAGTTTTAATCCTTAAGATTTAAAATCCCGGTTAAATCCTGTGGTTACCATGGATCAAGCAAGTGTGGTTTTACTGTGTGTTCAGACAAAGAATGAATTAAGAGAGGATGGACACATCCTGATACACACTCACTCACTTATAACAGAGACGTCTGTGAAACTGCAAACATGGTCAGTTATTACTCTTTTTCATTTTGAATCCATTTTATATTTTTTTAAACTTTCCCAGATTCTAGAAAAGCAATTTTAAAGTGCGTAACTTCCTCACAATAGAGAGAAAGTCCTCCCCTTCCGGTGCCCCTTATTTCGGAAAAAATATGCACGTTAGTTAATGGCGAGAAACAAATAATAATGGAAGCTAGATAACGTTTTTTTGGCAGATTTTCACTCAAGTAAGTGGCCGCCATGTTTGAATCCTCTATCCGGTTCCTGTAATACGTTCAGGGTTCAGATGGATTTGAAAAGCAAATTTTAGAAGCCGATTGCCCACAAAGTCAGTTGAAAGACTCAAATTCGTCCAGATTGGGGAGAGGAAAGGTTTCAACTCGAGCAAGGAACTAGCATGTATCCCGAGGGTTTTATGAACCAGCTTTATAAATGAACAGTCGAGAGGAATAAGGAGCCGCACACCAGCTAGGTACCTTAAAGCTAATGTACAGTGGTACATTGGCTGTTTGACGCGAATAAACACAAACAGTCCAGTTCTCTATCAGTCTGAAACACGTCCCAGAATTATGGGGGCAGCAAATCTGCCAGAAATACAACAGAGGAGCGACTGTTGTAGATTACAGTGCAGCAAACAAACACATGTTCTTTTAATAAATAAATCAATCAACTAATGAAAAGATTTCTTTTGTAGACACGTTTTTGATTAACGATCACGGTCAGCGCTAACCTCAGTGACAAATACAAATACACTACATTTCCTGTGACTTCTTCACACTAAAAGTCACCCCGTGTTTCCCCAGTTTAAGTCTTTTAATGTGAAGCAGCAGCAGTAGGAAATGCTGGGTTAACATTAGCATTAGCAGTACCCTGATACAGCTCTGTTGACAGTAAACAGTGAGGCTACTATCACTGATGTCAAATTAAACGCTTCCTGTCACGTGCGTGTGAAGACAATCTAAAAATCTACTCAGAGAGGTAACTGCTGAATATAAATACATTTAAAGGCTATTGCAGAATAAATCCAACCATAGAAAGTATCAAAAATGGGTTTTGATTTCATGAAAATCTTAAGGATTATAACTTTAACTCTCTCTCCATCTGAGACAGATTCCAGGATTCTTTCACTAAAGTCTTTTAAAGACAAAAAATACTAAAAAGTGCTTCGTCCACATTCCTCATACTGTGTCCCGTCCCCCTCTCTTTCCCCTTCTCCCCTCCTTAACTTCTTTTTCACACCCCACGCCTCTTCTTTTCTCACCACGTTAGATGATCTTTGGGTCTTTACCCTCCGTCCTCCATCTCCCATCATCTCCCAGCGACACTGATCCACACGGGTTTAACACAGACTCGTCTACCTCCCTCTCCTGCTCTGCGTTTCATCTCCTATTTTCCCATCATGTTTTCAGAAGCTGTCACGTCAAAGGAGGAGAGAACAGGGTCAGTCACCGCGCCTCATGGCAGAAGGGGCTGGACATCATATATTTGTATTTACATCGCCTCCTCCTGGACGGAGAAGGAGGGAGGAGAGGATGAAGAGTTAGGACGGGGCGGTCGGTCTCGGTTCAGAAATGTCTTTTTGCGAGGCTTCTCATATCGATACTTCATATTCACGAGTGTCCTGCTGACAATTGAAGAGAAGATGGAGGAGACAGAGGCAGTATTAGTGTGTGTGTGTCTCCTTAATGAACAGTAAAATGAACCATTAGTGGTTTTAATGAAGTGGTTTTAAATTCTCTGGACACTCACTCCTCCTGTCTCATAGAGCGGGTTGTCAAACTCTGTCTCCACAGTGATCTGTCGGTAGGGGTGGGGGTAGATGAGAGGAAGCCTTAAGTTGGAGTGATATCGGCACCTAAAAGGACAGAGAGAGAAAACAGAACAAGAAAACTCAGTGACACAATTTACAGGAGCTGTTCCAGAGAGAGGATTTCATTTATTCTATGTTTAATAATTTTATATTTTAACTGTTTACTGGGGTAATAAATCAGTGTCAAAAAGGTGAGTGTTAAGATTTGTTGTTGGATTTATTTGCTGTCCAACAGATCTTACAAATGGATGGAGTTTTGTCCAGCTTTCCTTCCTTCCTATAGAATCCAAATGTCTTCCAAACTTTAGATTTCAGATTTGATGGTGAGCTGTTAATCGTGTTGCCATACCGACGTCCTAAGACCCTGGCGTTGACCTTTTACCTTACACGACAGTTAGCAGTAAAGCTTCAGTCAACAGATTCACAACGTACATAAATCGGACCATTGAATATTTAGATCGATCCAGGGGTCCACGTACCGATGTGGTACGATGAAATCTGTACATGTGGAAATGTTACATAGTATAGCTTTAAAAGTAGATTTTATCAAGGGATCAGTTGATAAATCAGGATTAACCTTAAGGCCCTTATCATGCCAGGTATATAAAAATAGATATTATGCTTAAGTTGGTGCATATTAGCAATCAATTTAGCGCTGATTTCCCACAATGACTCTGGGGGTTTTGGGTCTGGAGCCCAGAGGAAGTTGTCCTACCTTTCATTTGAAGGTGAGCAGTCAAAGATCTTACCGTGTGACGTAGACGTAAGCCCCTCCGAGGAGCACGGACAGCAGAAGAACGAGGATGAAGATGGACAGCGCTATGTTCCCTCCATCCAGAGTGGAGCCAGCAGTCGCTTCTGCAACTGATCCACAACACGCGAAGAGAACACGGTTAATTAAAGGCATAAATATCACCAAGAGAACCAACAAAAACCACTAAACTCCGGTCAAGAGTGGCTTAGCGAACGCAGGTGAACGCAACAGGTAAACAAATGGTGGATGGACAAACACACAGTGGGGGTGAAACCTGGCAGGCAGATGTTTGCTGAAGCAGGCAGAGCAGACAGAGCGAGGTGAAGTGCTTTTTATTCTTCCGTTTGTTTGAGTCTAGGAAACAAACTGTGTGGTCAGAGCACACCGACATACACAGATAGACTCACCTTCCAAAGCATGGTTGCCAAAGCAGTCATGGTTGGCTGCAAGACATCATTCTGTCAGTCAGTGCACATGAAAATAACATCACACTTCCTGTGGAGTTTGTATTGTAACAACTGACCGTTCGCTAAACCCCACCAAACGTCTCGATTCTCAACAAATGTCAAAAATAGAGTTTCTAAATTCGTTAAAGGAGCAGTGTGTAGGATTTAGTGGCGTTTCAGATTGTGACTAACTGAACACCGCTCGCGTCTGTATTTGACGACCTGGGAATGAGCACAGACTGTGAAGTGTGGAGGAGAAACTGCGGTGGCTGTGAAAAAGGTTGAATCTACCGTAGATATAGAAACATAGATACAGTGTTCTCGATTTGACGTGCGTCCGCCTTTTTGCAGAGGTTGATAGCGGCTAGTTAACAAAACTGAGAGATTCAGACTTCACTACAGAATCAACTGTAACTCACTATTTTTAAACCGATTTCGACTTAGCTGATTTATCCCCGGGGTGGCAATAAAACCACTTCAGTACTTTATTCCTCTCCGTCAGTATCAGATGCTGCCTTCAGTCCCGATCTGGACCTGCTGTTCACTGGGAG